CCCCTGTGAGGCAACTGGTCCGAAGAGGGCATCGCGGGCTAAGCAGCGGGAGAGTGACAATGACAAAGACAAAAGGACAGAGTAAGTCGCAGAGAGACACCAAAGAAATGGAGAGACAAAGGTGACACGACAAAAAACACCAACGGCCCCCCGACGGACCCACCGGTGCTGATCTCCACGGAGGACTTCGGGCGGGAGGCTCCGACAAACCAAAGAAGGCTACTTCAGAATGCAGCGCATACAACCACAGTCAAGACTCAATGACGTGGGCAGGAGGAAGGGAGACACGCCTGCCCACATGGACCACGCCCGAATCATACAAGAGACTCAGGGAACATCAGGCCCCAAGACTCGGATACACCGACGGAGCAGGGGACCACATCATGCATTTTCACTTCGAAGATCTCTACACGTCTCAGCAGCTCCCAGGGGCCCAGTGAAGTCTGACCCTATCACCTGTATCATATTGCCAAGCTCGCGCTATGTCACTGCTCTGCAACACCACTTAACTCTTGTACAGCCAACCAACTGGGGCTGCTGTATAGTAGTAGTCGTCAACCTAACTGTGCCTGCTGTATAGTAGTAGTTGTCAATCTCTTTGTAGGCAAGCAAATGTGAATGTCGTATACTCGTAGCTCTCAAGTCCTTTATAGTATATGAAGCCTGCAGGAGTCTCCATCCAGACACATGTTGTTTGTTCAAATACATAAGCACAATGTTCAGGGACGCTGGACCCGATTTCCAGCAGGTGCTGCTCCCCACCAATAGATGGAGCCTCCCTGGGAGTGCTAGCGGTGCCTGCTCTTATCAGCACCCCTAGCACCAACTCGGGCAGTATTACAAAAAAAAAAAAAAAAAAAAAGATGGCAGACAGATGGGACCTTGCCCCTGGGGCAAGGTGACTGCCACTGACTGGCACTGGTCAGCCCATATTGGGTGTACATAACGAAGGTCGACGTTCAGTATAGGCATATTGAAATGATATTTGGGAATTTCCAGTTTAGATACAGCAATAATAATCATGCTGTTTAGACTCTCTCTCTCTCTCTCTCTCTCTCTCTCTCTCTCTCTCTCTCTCTCTCTCTCTTCGTAGGCTTTTGGCTTTCCTGCTTTCTTTCTCTCAATCTCCTTTTTTGTGCATTTTCTTTGATTGGCCTCTTTTTCACATGAATGCAGGCTCCAGTGCCCAAGGCAGCAACCAGTGGGCACACATTTTTTTCTTTGTTTCTTTTCAGTGGCACCATGTTTGTAGCCTTCTAAAAGCAGTGCTGAACAAATTACAGGGAGGCCAGGCTGAGGGATGTTACATTACACGATTATTGACTTTCTCCTCCCCTCCCAAACCCCCCAGGCCTGGGGAAAATGTCCTCCAGCCAGTAAATAAATAGTCGAACAAGAAGAGGATCTCACCCACAACATGCTGAATGCGACCCTTTCTCAGAACTCTTTTCCAATCCGTTTCAAAAATCTCCTCCATGAATTCATCAGTGTCATGGGTAGCCTGTCCATTGCTTCCATCTCCATCCGTAAGTAAGGGCCAACATCGCCCCAATGGATGAACGGGTTCAACTCCTCTCCCCTCCCCTTCTTCCAAAACCCTCCCCTCCCCCACCCCCCGCCCCCCTCCGCGCAGCGGCCAGACAACACAATCCACAGACATAACAGTCGTCAAGCATTGTCAGTTGCAAATATCGATCGCACTACTCTGAAATTCTTCATTTTCCTCTGTGTGTGTGTGTGTGTGTGTGTGTGTGTGTGTGTGTGTGTGTGTGTGTGTGTGTGTGTGTGTGTGTGTGTGTG